AAGTCCATTGTCTGTATGATCATTTCCAAAGTTGAACCGTGGACGTCGTACATTCCCAAACGTTTCGCCGGCATCGTCAGTGAGTATCGCCATTCTTAGCACCACACAACAACTCGTCAAAGAGACAAATGAGTTGTTGTGTGGTGCTAAGAATGGCGAGACTCACTGACGATGCCGACTACGATAACGGCAAACGTTTGGAAATGTGCCACGTCCACAGTTCAACTTTTGAAATAATGATGCATACAATGGACTCCGGACTAGGTGCATTCCTCTAAGTCTTCCTACCAATATGACCATGTTGCGAAAACAAGGTCAAACAACATCTGTATTCACCATATTTCGTTTTAGGTGATAAATGGGAAAATTCACCTACCAGTCATCTTAGACGGAATAGGCTCATATATCTGCTACACTTATGCGCTCGGCTTCTATTGCAGTCCAACTTGCTTACTGGTGGCTGAACTGGGTCCAAATCATTTTTGCATTCGTCCCTCAAGGACGTCCGTTTTCATGCCATCGCTTCGGAGTTTCAGGATAATCGGGACACTGGGCAAATAACCTCAGTACGGAACCTCGAGTCCCCATACTCCTGCTTTGCTTCAGCCCTCTTTTAGGGCCAGTACGTCATTTCAACCCCTCGCTGTACTGTATTTCTCCTCTTCTCTTCCTTCATACTCCATGTTCATCACATTTCTTAGCATCATTTGGCCAAGTTCTGTCGGCGCATGAAATAGCACGACTCGGGCGCTTTGCTCTATTGTTGAGCTTACTTCCATTTCGAGTGGAAGTGTTGGGTGAAGAGATTCGATGGTCCGTTCCACCAGAAGACGACAGCGGATTACTCTTGACCAACTGTCGATTGGCTGACGCTGTCTCCGAGGCAATCTCCTTCCACTCGAAATGGAAGTAAGCTCAACAATTATGAAACAAGAGATTCCTCGAAACCCAACTTTTCTTCTTATGCTTTGCTCTTTTGCCTGCCTTAAGTTACTATGCTACTTATGACTACTTAACACAGCTCCCTTTTTCTCTTATCGACACACACACACATACACACACACATGTGCATCCATTCCATGTTTAGCTCAACAGCAAATACGATCAGGCCTCAGAGCAGGAGGCCATCTCTTGGCTCAACGAAATTACCGGAGCTGGGGTGCCGTTCGGTCGGGAGAATGTGGCTGCAGCCCTGAAGGATGGAAAAGTGCTCGTCAGGTGAGCCAAGTCTATTTTATCTTTCCTGGCCAGTTTCATTGCTGCTTTTTGTGTCTCACATAGTCGTCCATCCGATCAGGTTAGTGAAACTTTGTTGTCTTGCGGTGCATTTGGGCCGGTGTCTCTCCAGGGCTTGAGGGAGGTGTGCAGTGATCAAGAGGCCCCTTCTCGAAACTCCCACCTTTGCATGACGTTACTAGACCAGAAATGGTATGACCTAGTTTTTGCAACTTGGTCGCGTTGTCAGGGTGACGTAGTTGGATACGCCTCATCCGAAGTCCTTTGCTATATTGACTATCATTATTGCAAGCATTGGATCGTGGACTTGGTACTTTTCCAGACGTTTCGCCGGCATCGTAGTCGACGTTGTCAGTGCGTCTCGCCATTCTCAAGACTAAGCCACAACTCGTCAAAGAGATGATGCCGGCTACGGTGTCGGCGAGATGTCTCGGAACGTACCAAGTACGCGGTCCGACGCTTGCAATGATAATGACTACTATAGCAGACGACTTAGAACAAGGCGCATCCAATTAGGTCTCGCTGAAACCACGGTCAAGTTGCGAAAACGAAGTCGTGTCACGTCCATACATCGAAAGGAGGCCACGACCAAAATAGAGGCCACAACATGTTGGTTCTTATAACTACGATTACTATGCAAATTTCTCACTGAGAGTAGATTCTGTTTTGCAGGCACTGTTCAACCCGCAAAAAAGTTGTAAAAGCTCAAATTGATAATCCTTGAGGCTGAATGGCTCTCGCCATCTTAGCTGAATGAATATACCTTGTCGTTACAAGTATTCGGAGGGTTGTTACGGGAAACCTCTGGTTTCACCATATGCAATCGTTATAGGCAGCTCTTACACTATATTAAGGCAAAAACTCACTAGTATAAGATTTACTCACCAAATTTCGTTTACGGTGATGAAGGACTGGTAGTAAAACTTTCCCACAATGATATGAGTTGAATTGACGTTTTCATTCAATTTCACATAGCCTTGCTTTCCCAATAGTTGTTCTCATCCAGAGTGGACCACAGTTTCGACCTCGCATCGGTCTTATCAACATCCCCAGCGGGAGTCGAACCGTGACTGCAGCATGCGAGCTTGACATGTTAACCACTCAATCACATTGAAACTCTACTTACATACGAAAAATAATTCACTAGGTTGGTCTCACTGGAAGCTGTAGGGGATTGCCTTGAAACAGTGATTGTAGATTTGTACGAATAGGTCCTTGGCCCTGCGATCCCAGTAATTCCTTGCTGAGCTTTCGTCCGTCATGTGACGGACCTCGTCAGAGCAGGACACCATGCTTGACGAAAATTCACGAAATCACGAAGGCAAGAAAGGAAAGAAAAACGCTGCTTTCACGATATGTAATCATTATACGCAGCTCTCACACTATATTAAGGCATAAATTCACTGAGATTTGTATTTTAGATGAATTGTTATGCTTTATAAGCCGCTCCGTTTTTTCCGCTTTCCATGATCTACTCACGGTTCGAAAATGATGTCACAAAAGGGTAGAGGGGATAAAAAATGCCTCTTGGTTACACGTTCACTATGCCAAGGATATGCATTTTCAGTTTGAGATATAGAAAATCTAGCCTTATCTGAAGAGAGCACATGTAAGCCAAGTTCTCAGTACTTGGGCACATTCGGATTACTGTGTCCGTGAGCTTTAGTGTAATCTCAGATAGCATGGCCAGATTACTGTGGCCTTTGTCTTGATTGCAATCTCCTCTCGTTGCATATTAGCGGTTTGAAATCCTGTTGCCACGGCGGCTTCGATAAACGCATCTTGTCCGGATCCTCTCGCATATTGACCATGACAATTTTCGGCTCCAGATCGTGGACTTGATTCGCGTTAATACGGGGCTAAGTAAGTTTGGCATGCAGAGTAAACCAGTCGCTTAATCTATATTTCCTGCAAGACGGCATGGTAGATAGCTTCTTAAATAGGTGAATCTCATTCGACGAGACAATGTAGATCACTTGATATTGTCCAATGCCAGCACATGGGCTGGTAAAATCGAACCGAATAGTATTAACGAGTTGTATCATTCAGGCCAAGTAACGATATGCCTTTGTTGCCATATCGCCACATCCGAAGTCACTTTTGTGCGATTTAAAATGACCCATAAATCCAGTTATTTTTCTCGGCATATTCAGGTGTGCGGTTAGCTTAAATGGCAACAATCATAAGTCTTGGTCGCCCACGAAAGGTGAGAAACATATTGTACGTTTGCCGCGTTTACTAGTAGCCTCGGAGGAACCTGAATCACACCATACCTTTGTCAGTAGACTCATCAGTCCGCAGTTCAGAGATTCCGAAATCCTTTATTAAAGCGTTAAGGATAAAGTATAACAAACTTAATTAATAATGTATTATTATATACGTTCATATTTTTTTTATTTACATGATAAAATGTATTATTATTATTATTTAATTACTACTATTCATATTGGAAGTTAATTTGGGTATCTATTTTAGGCCTAGCAATAATCCATGCATTACTTTTGTAAAATTGATTTGATCACTAAATTTATTGTACTATAATTTAATGAAAAACAAGGTAGGGTCTGAAAATTATGAGGGCACCCTACTTAACACGAAAATAAAGTATTATTCCGTAATTAACTATACGTCTCCGCTTGTTTCATTTTTGCTTACTCTATAATTTTACCGTTTGCGATTCAAATTTTGCACTTTGATTACATTTTGTGATGACTTTGAGTACGACGTAGACCTATTTGTTGGGAGTATTTACTGGCTTTTAAATAGCTTAAACCAAATTTTATTGTGCAGCCATTCTATGAGATTATGGAGTATTTTGCTTCTAGTTTCCCGCATATTCTGCCGAGATCAGCATACAACTTTGCTTCTTGTTGTTGTGTTTTGCCACTGGACATGATCTATTTTCGTCATATCTCGCCCAGTTGATTGGCTGCTATCAATTTGATGAGCTTCTCCAGACTTGTTTACAGCACCCATTCTTGATAAGTGTTTTTATGTCTAACTTCTGAGAAACTCTTATTCGAGCCTTCCTCATGGTGTGCATGCACCTTCTCCTCCATGACCATATTTTCAGTTTATTTGCATTCCCCCCCTCTATTTCCAACATTTTTCTGGTCAGATTGTCATCCCCCTCCTAGTATTTGTTT